TATATTCACAGTTTCGAGAAAATCTATAGAAAATCGATTTTCTCTAGTATAAGGACCGGAGAACTATCTTAAATGATTTTCGTAATAGACATGAGAGACAATGTTTTTATTATTTCAGTTTGTTACCTCCAGATGAAAGGGAATGGGCGCAATTATTAAACGATATGTTAGATATACATGGGCTAATTTTTTCGTGTATTGCTGTTGAAACCTGTTTTGAAATATGTGTTTCAGCCCGTTTACTTTCAAGAATTAAATGTACCATTCGTAATTGTGCTACCTTAATAGAAACCAAGAAAAATGAGAAATCTTTATTAAAAGTATCCTATGAGAAAGCGGTTGACCTTATATTGGAAGTGTCGAAAGAATATTTTAATGGTTCAAGGACACTTACTGATCCACATATGGAGTTAGCTAAGCAAGTATCTCGTTAACATAATAATAATCATATATAATAACTTGTTCTGAAACGTAACGTATATAAATGATTGTTCCAGAACTTGCCTTGATCTTATCGAAGATGATAACGTGAAAATTAAAGAAGAATATGATCTTATCAGGTCGCTCCAAATATTGAATGAATTCAATATTGATATATTACCTCTTCAAGTTAGATTAACAGTGGACAAATTAACCTTGATCGAACACTGTTTAAATAACCAAAGAGATGCTTATAAAAATCGACAGAGATTATTAACGTTAGCAACTTATTTACGAATTGAAGGAAATAACAGTAGACTCCGCGAAGGAAAAATTTCAGAACTAATAGCTAAAAAGGCACTTGAGGTAAGATACATTCATCTTTTTTACATGTATTTCTTATGATCCAATTTCAAGAGATTTTTTTTAAACTAAAACATAAAGATATGTATATCATGATTATATTTTTTATTCCGCAGACTGAAGATTACAATACATGTGCTATGATATGTTCGCAATTAGCAAAAAACAATTATCTTCTTGCCTGGGAAATTTGTTTAAATTTAGGACGTTGTGATAATTATCAGGATCTAAAAGTTAGGCAAAAGTGTCTATGGTTTGCAATAAATAATGGTCCTAGTGATATATTGGGTAATGCTTTAGAACACATGCACTTGTTGGAAATACAAATGCTACATAAGAATTTGGAACTGTGGATGCCCTCTGCGGAATTTGAAAGTTTAAAAGATGAAGAAAGTGATACAAGTGAAGATGATTTTACAGATGCTATGACAACGGTAAAAGAAATTTATTTTAATGAGCACTAATGTTAATATTTTTCTTATAATGCAAGATATAAAAAAATATAACATTATTATATAATTTACAGCCGCAGATAGAAGTAAAAGAGTTTGTTCCAAAAATGTTGGAAACTTCAACAGGAATTGTAAAAAGTTCAGCTAATATTATGAAAGAATCTACATTCAGCTTGCTTAGAAACATTAGTAATACTAATTTTTGGAAATCTAGATTGAATCTTAACTTTAAAAACGATTTAGAAACTAGTGCACAACAAGAATCTGAAATGGAACAAAACGAGGAAGATATCAATCTTCAAAGTTTTCCGTGTTATTATGAATCCTTACACGAACTGTGTAGAATAAGCGTTAATGAGACAAGATACAATAAGTATTCTACGACAGAAATAGAAAACACAAAATTAAAATGTTGCCGAGCGCTTTTAAGAATAACCATACTGAGTGAATCCTCTTGCTATGGGCTAGAAATAAGTGACATTAATCATTGTAAGTATTGTGTGTTATTCAAAAGTATTTAACGCAAAAAATTAATCATAAACGAATTACATTTATATGACGAGAATTATTTTATTAATTTCAGTACTTCTAGAATGTGCAAAGCACACTATGTCAGACGATTGGTTACTTGGTATGGCTTATCTATTGAGTTTAAATAGAAATCACATCTTGGATGCTCAAGCAATCTTTATGGATTTACCGCAAATTGAATTATATATACAAACTGCGCTTTATTACTATTCATTAGAGCTGTACAAGAAATTGTACACTGATTGTGAAAAGTTATATTTGTACAATCCATTAGACTTAATGAAAATCATGATGGTTGCAGCACAAAAGTCTGAAGAATGTGATATTGTTAAAGCGTTACAATATTGGCAAAGTTATTTGCTCGGTGGAGCGCAAGTTACTAGTATGAAACAAGTGGAAATAAATGATTTAAGTGCGTTAGAACTAGGACAAAGTAGTACTCGTGTACATTCTGAAGAGACTGTGAAAACTTCGAAATCCATAAATGAAGAACAAGAATCTGTAGAATATTTCGATGTTAATAATATTCTACCATCAAAGTCTACAGCAGATGAAGATCTAAAAATGGCTATCTCAGATGACATTGATGCCGTAGAATGGACAGATGATTGGGGTGATTTTTCTGATGATAGCATGGAAGCAAATAATGATAAGAAGGATAAAATTAGATTCAAAGAAGTTTCGCAAGAAGAAATCATTTTTCCTCTTAATCACGCCATTGCTGAATGTGCGACAGAGGAAGATCGATTTAAATTATTTCAAAAACGGTTTAATCAAATCAATAATTTAGAGCAATATCAGGAAGTAAAAAAACTAATATCGCAATGGCCGAAATTTAATATGCCAGATCATATCACAATAGATAATCATCCAGTTTTAAAAATGATGAAAGTGATAACTGCGCTTACAGAAACAAATACAGCTAATTTTGAAAAAAGGATATTACAAGAGCACGAAGAACTCATTCGATTATTAACGTCTGAAGGGGTACTGTAATGAATTACATTATTTCCTTTTTTCATTATAAGTAATTAAATATTATTTTTCTAAATGCTTTTATAATACAGATCCTCAAACGGTTCTTGGAAGTCGAGCGAGATCACATTAGCTTTGTACAAAGCGTTTATATAAGATTATGCTCCCAGGACGTGTCGATGCATGAAGAAGCAGTAAATCTCATTAAAGAACAACAGGTTAGCCGTTCGTCTATTTGCGCATTATATATGAATAGTTATATATAAATCCTGAAACGTATATAACATTATAATTTTATTTTTCCAGACTATTGTGTTACCGCCATTAGTACTGGAGAAACTTTTCCTAAATGATTTAACAGCGTTGTTCAGCCCAGATCATGTTGTATATAAACAGATAATCGAACATGTCTTCATAAATGAAGCTTTAACCGGCATTGAGGAAAATGCAGAAATACTATTACATGAATTAAAAAGACAGAAATATATACTAGAGGCTTTGCATATTATAAAGTTAATGAAGAGAATACCACCGGCCTTATGCACATTCGATACTTGTTTTCAGCTATTAATGCAGGAATGAATTTATTCTAAATATAAAAAAAAACTGTGATGAATGTTGTATAAGGGAAAGTTACAGACAAGGTATATTTATTATAAGTAATCTCTTTGTTTTATATAAAAAATTTTTAGACGTGCGTGCGTGGAATTTAAAATTGCTTTAGTTATTACAAGTGTAATATATTTCGTTGTAACGAAAAACGTAAAAAGGACTAAAACAATTTTAAATCCTTCTCCCACAACAAAGCTTTCTGTGACCATATTTTGAAAGATTTATATCTCTTTTGTATATATAAACAAATTTATTTGTAAATATGTATAAATATAAATTGCGTTGTAAGAAGTACGAATGAATTTAATGAAGAAATTCGTCTAACAAGCGTATATCCTTACGCCTTATCAATCTCTTGGCGAAGGAGAACGCGTGTCGGCCCTATACCAGTGTTTTCCAAAGCGAGTAGGCTCCCGCGGTTCAATGAATCTCGGAGGTAATAACTGGGTCCGTAAACGCTATCTCTGTTTTATCAGCTTCGATAAGACTGAGTCATTTAGTCACCACGATACGCTGTATCGTGCTGCATCGTGTTGTATGCCCAATTACCACTGATGTAAATATCATTGCGCGTTTGTACCCTCCAGTTGTGCTGAATGACAACGATGATTGAGCGTGGACTACGCTCGCTGCGCACACGATCGCTCGCCTAGCTCGGCGAGCTGCTCCGTCCGTCTGAGAACTTAGTTTGCCGCTTCCTTCGGTCGAACAAACACGTCCTTCAGTCGGGTAAGTCGATATAAGTACATATATATCCGCGACCGCGAATATTCGCTTGTTATCGCGTGTATTACTTACAAAGATGCATGTTTTTATTTAAGATACTTAAAATTCATTATTGTGGTCTGTATTGTACAAATTACACACGGGAAAAATGTTTTCTTTTATTTTAGTAATTTAGTTTATAAAAAAGATACGTAATAAGTTGTATATTACTTTCTTTAAATAAGTTCCTTATTTGCTTGATGCAAAATTTATATTTAAAATGCATATATGTATGTGCGCGAATATTAAAATGTTCTAAATGAAATAAAGTAACGATGCAATCCCAATTGCTGCTCGTAAAGAGATTAATATTAAGCAGGCTTGTCACTTTGCAATTGTAACAATATCAGGCTTCGACATAACTTTTATTAATTGCAATTTATCTTCTTACCCCGCTGACGTTGCTCCAATCAATTGATAAATTGTTCTCACACTCCTACGCTAACATACAAAATTCTATAGCTGTAGCTTATATCTGTACAGTTTAACAATTAATCAGCCGAGGAACAAAGAAGATATTCCAGCCACAGCTTTAGTCACCGTTTCAAACGCCCTTCCTCTCGCTCTCTTTCTCTCTCTTCGCCGTGCAGGGGACATACATTTCTCTTTTTCATCGACCCGGCTTCCCCCTTAATAACTCGCGGCTATTTTTGCGCGCCGTGCACCGCGGCGGCATGGAGTACAACGACACGCTGCTTATCCCAGGCCAGCATATACGTCCGCCCGTAACCGAGGAAACGGCGGTCGCCCTGCTGGAGCGGCTCTACGGCATGAGGGCGACGAGCGTGCGCGAACTGAACGCTTACGACGACCGCAATTACCACGTGGTGTGCGACGGGCCGCCCGCGAATCCGCACGCGATCAATCTGGAGAAGACCGGCTATGTTCTCAAGGTGATCAACTCCCTGGACTCCCGCAAGACCGACGTGATCGAGGCGCAGACGGAGCTAATGATTTTCCTCAATCAGCGAGACGTCTGCTGCCCGTTACCGGTCAAGAACGTGAACGGCGCGTACTTTTCTCTGGAGACTCTGAAAAGCGAGAATACCATGGAGAAGTATGCAGTGAGACTGTTGGTCTATCGTTCCGGTGAACTGCTGTATCACGTAAAAATAACTGATGAATTGTTGCGCAAGATTGGCAGTTTCACCGCCAGAATCGACGAGATCCTCACGGGCTTCAATCATCCCGCCTACGACGATCACAAATCACTGTGGATGTTGACCTCGGTGCCGCGAGTACAGCAGTTCACGTACGCGATTAAGAGCTCGTTGGATAAGCAGCTGGTGCACGACGTGATCGTCAGCTTTCAGCGGGAGGTATTGCCGATCATGGATCAGCTGGAACAAACGGTTATACACGGCGATCTGAATGAGCACAACATCATCGTGAGCCCCGACGGCAAGGATATTGTCGCCGTGATCGATTTCGGTGACTCTCACAGGACTTGTCGCGTTTTCGAGCTAGCTATAGTTCTCTGCTACATGATCCTGCAAACGGCCGACGTAGGAATGGGTAGACACGTCGTGGAGGGTTACGAGAGGATCAAGAAGCTGACCGACGTGGAGAAGAAGACCCTCAAGATCAGCGTATGCGCCAGGATATGTCAGAGTCTGGTGATGGGCGCTTACTCGTACCTGCACGATCCCGAAAATCAGTATTTGCTGAGCACGCAAAAAACCGGGTGGATGTTACTAAAGAGGCTGTGGCCCATGAGTCAAGGGGACGTGATGCAAGCTTGGGGATTGACTAATTCCCTAAACGAGTAATATTGATGGATTTGCCGAATTAAGCAACGGCAAATAACACAGATTACTCGCTGTTTGACTATATATTTTTGTATAAAGGTAGAGTTGAGAGATAAAATTA